TAACAAAATGTATAAATGGTACTCATTTAAGTCATCCCTATTGTTTTATTATGTTTATTATAGAAATAATTATGTTAAATCCATAATATTGCCTTGTTTCTGTTATATGTATGCCTCATTTCTAAATGTCGTTGAAGTATTATGTTTTCATTTTAAAAATTAAGATGACAATGTTCACTAAATCCCTTGTAACATACCCATGGCTTTTCATCTGAAGACTTGGTTCTTCTTATTAAGTACTCTTTGGATGTCCCTCTTTTCATCTGTTGATCTTTTCTTTAGCATTCTTCACTTGTTCTTCATACTTCTTTCTGTTCTTCATCTGTTCTGTAGGCGCCGCTTCATCTGTTCTTCATCTGTTCCTCTTCATCTGTGAATAGGAGGTCTGAAAAGTCATACAGGTCATGACCTCAGAACACCCCTATTGTGGCAGTGCTATTGTGGGTAGGTAAATTACCAGACGATTTACCCTTTCTAACCTGAAAAATATAAATACATAATTGCAAATAATTAGATGACTACCATTTTAAGTAATTTGTTAAAAACAAATACAATGTGTGAGAGGCCATGAAACACCCTTAAATTAGAGATCACATTTTGGCGTCATCATTCTATAAGGTCTTGATTGGCTGATTACTCATATAAATACCATGTATTTGTTTATTTTTGAACAAAAATATCATGATTCACAAAACTGTATCAGAGTGTTGCAAGATATTTCAAATTAAGAATATCAAAATGGTTTAAATTACAGAACAAATATTTCTAAAACAAACTTGCCTTGCGAGCTTCTGTGCCACACCATAAGCACTTGACTTCTGTATAATGAAGCTCTATCTATTTACACCTAAAATCAAAAATATACAACGTAATTCTTTGATATGGCACAAATGAAATAATTCAACAAATACATAAATCCAAACAGTTGATGGATTCTATGGAACAGTCTGTTACTCAGTAACAAGCGTATTAGAGCTTCGGAACTTGATCTTATGTTTCTAAATGTAATATTTACAGTGTGTATATAATGACTTGTATAGCAACATCATATCCAAGATAGCTATAAAAATATCCTTACCTGGCTTCGTTCCAAGAGTCGCCTTTAGGACATTATCTTGTGCTCCACCATAACCGTATTGACCTCCAAATGTAATGTCCTGTTGAAGCTAAAGACCAGCTCCTTTGTTCTTGGAACCCTAAAAGTCAAGATTCTTATTTTTAAAGTAGGTTTGGAAAGTTATGTGCAAAAAGTAATAAATACTTTAGACCAAAGACTAGAGGAATATATCCATTGCCTTATCTGGAAGTTTTAAGCAAAAAAAATCTTTCTGTTAATTCTATAACATTAAAGCTATCTAAAAGTAACCTGGTAATGAAAATCTTGAAAACTAACTCTTTAATTATGTATATCAAATGTGAATAACATCATTTGGCCAATATCTCTGCTCATGGACAATCAATTTTCAAAGGTCACTCTTGATTTGATTAGTTTTAAGCTCTTGCGTCCAAGACTAAATGACTTTTTGAATTAAAGCTTTTTACTGTGGTATCTGTCATTAGCCAGGCAAGTCATGCCTCTTGCAACACCCCTCTGCCAATGGAATTATCAAATATGTAGCCATTTCAGAGAGAAAGATTCCATGGTAGTTTTTGCTTTTTCATTCCACAGCAAGGGCCTTGTCCTTGAAATGGATTTTATTTTTAAGAGATCAATCAGATGACACCAAAATCATCGTAATTTAAATTTTCAAGATTAATGCTCCAGTACACCTTCAAGGGATACAGAAAATGAACAAGAATTTTTCAGGGTGGGTTTCACAAAATTTCACAGAATAGGAATTTGATTTAAATTGAAATATGTAAGTAGGTACTGACCGTGCTACGTTGATCATCTAACTGTAAGTGGTGTATGTCAAACCCAATAGTAAAGACCGCTATCGAGTTCCCACCGACGGCTGAAAACAACAAAAGACAAACATTGTATTGAGTCAAAATACCACATAATTTAGTATCTAAGGACATATTCTATTTATTTCTGGTTTATTGGGCATGGTTATTGAGCCATGGAATACGGAATCCACTGAAAATTTTGCAAATTGATATATTTTTCTGAAAATTCACACAGCTAATAATATCATG